TCTTACACATCCCATCATTTTTGTCTTCAGTCTGAGAAATGAGCAACAGTTCATGGTCTTTTGGGAAGTTGGGCAAGTTTTTAGTTTTTACCAATAAGCTGTGGCAAATTGAAAAGTTTGTAAATGTTTATCAGAGGTATCTCAGGCATAGTTACAGTTGCCTGGACCATCTGGGAGAACCAATTTGCCACAGCGCCACCCTGAGGCAGACCAGTGCTGCGTCTCTAGTTATTTAAGAATACCAAAGACTGAAGCTCACCGACTGTGGGTGAAGCAGCTAGACGACGACCTTTCCCTGAATTTGTATTTGAGCATCTGTTTTTCCCTCATGGACAGCGTAAGTTTGTTTTCCAGAACCCTTTAAGATATTAAGAGGGTCCAAGAAGTTAAATAGACCCCCGGGACCCTCTGTATTTCACATCTGGGTTACTACCACTAATAGTAATGATGGCAAGATTTTTAGAAAGTTCTTACAAGCAAAGACAGGGATGGTGTGATAGTGCAGTTCAATAAAAGTGTGATGGCATCTTAAGATTAAGAGACCCTTATTAGTCCCACAACGGGGAAATTTCACCTTCACCTTCATCTAACCCACCTGCGCTGTGAGACACCACATACACACTAGTGAACACACACGCACACACAGTAGTGTGTGATCCCACAGAAGTGGGATCTTGAAATTGACCATGAAAGTAAATGATCTAGTAATAAAGAACAGAGTTATTGAAAAAAAAATGAATGTACAATTTCTTTTTCTTTTCTAAATTGGTAGTAAATTAGTTTTGACCACTGGGGCCCACGCTAACTCACCATCCGTAAAATTTCCCTGCTCTAAAATGAAATAACCCTTGGTCATGTTAATCATGTGGAAATTGCAGTTGTGAACAGAGTCACTGTGAAATGGTTCATTGTAGAGAAACCTTCTTTACAGTGGTGATTATAGGAACCAGGGGTCGCGAAGTCTACAAGCATTCTGAGGTTTTATATGTATGTTGATGATAGTAAAATAGGGGTAAATCTAAAAAAATATTTTTTTTTAGGGACTATTTGTCTCATAACGCTCTCCATGTACCTCACCACTATGAATTGAATTTTAAAAATATGTTTTAGGCCAAACGTTTATCCTAAAACAATTTCAAAACAGGCAGCATATTTATAACTGGTTAGTGTAATTTAATCAAGTAGAATTAAGGTATTAACCTCTTAAAGGTTACCAGCTTTAATACACACGTCTATAATAAGAATAACTCCACCAGTTTGCATTGACGTCCCTGTACTTACTGAATAATAAGCCTTTCTATGTAATAAGCCTGGGATTTTAAAGGGTTAAACTCATCAGACATCATTTCTATCACCACCACTGTGGACAGTTCAATGCAAGTTTTTTCCCCAAAAATATTTATCATGTTTTTTTTGTCCCCCCAAATAATAGCCTAACCACTGTGCTGTAGCGCAAGTGCACATTCAGACAGCTCCCCAAGATTATGAGCCCAAACTAGTGCCGGCCTTACACCACACGACTTTTCAAGGGGTTTCACTGTCGCAGACAAATATCCATGTCGGAATAAAGTCACGAGAGTCTTGTTAGAGTCGCGCCGCGCTCGCGTCATCTCGATCGTTTAGTATAAGGTGGTCAAGATGGAGGTCTTAAGTCAGTCCTTTTCTCGTCTTGATGCTGCGACAAAATCAACCGTGTTTAATATTATCGTATGTTTTAAGTCTTGGCTCACGCAAATAGTGACGTGCCAGGGGCGCGCGTGAGTGCTGGTTGAGAGAGAGAGAGAGAGAGAGAGAATATGCAGGCATGACTGTTTTAATATTTCAGGTTCACTGACCCTGTAACACGTAAGGAAATGTACAGAGGACTTTAAGAATGCCATTATTGAAGAATTATCAGTTGTTTTCTATTTGTTTTCTATTTTCTGTTACAGTGGTTTCTCATTTTGTTTGTTTGTTTCTTATGGTTTAGTTCATGACACCCAAACAACAATGCTGAATCGCTGCACGTTGTGTTGATGTGTAAATCTTCATATCAAATTAAAAAAGTAGCAGCACATTTTACAGGTTAATTAAAAGATTCTGGGTGATGATCTGCCAGAGTACACAGTTCTATAGTGAACTGCTCTGAGCCCCAGATCTTTACACGCCCAGCCAGCGTATCTTCCCATCTGTACCACTACAGAGTGGAAGGAAAAGTGTTTATCTGCTTGTAAATTTCCACCAGGTGCATGATGGGGAATAATCTCAAAAATCTAGTTGCAGTCTTGTAAATAGTGACACTGCGAGATTCCTAGTCTTTGCAAAATCATAGTCTGTGACTAAAAAACACGACACTGTCTTTAGATGTGAGAGGGTGTCAGGCTTCAGTCTTTCAAAAGTCTTAGCGTGAGTCTAACTGCTGCTTTAAACTCAATCTAAAGCTCTATTCTTGGAAAATTACACAGCCCTAGACATTTTAACTAATTGTCAGACTCTGGCTAATTGAATCGGGTGTGCCAGAGGAGGGAACCCCTAAACTGTGAAGCCCTGTGGTCTTCTGGGTCTGCAGTTTTGTCTCCTATTGCTTTAAATGCTGGCTTAAGACCTGCTGTCACTTCTCCCCGTCCCAGCCTAAGCCATTAAAGGAGAAAAGGCCAAACTGGTCTCAGATCACTGGGTTTGGACACAATCCCCTCGACACAGTGACAGTCGCCACGGATACCACGCGCAGCCCTTAGAGATTAATTAAAGTGGTTCCGTCAAGCGTCTCCTGTGCGAGGGGCCTTTTTTATTTGCGCAGGTGTAGAAGTGGCTCATGTCATTAAGGGGAGAATGCTGTCCTCGGCTGAATAGCTCTGTTTCCTGCAGGGGCTCTGGATTTATGCTGTTGTATAAATAGGGCTAGGATGTAGCGGAGCTGTTGGGCTTTACTGACTGGTGACCGGAGGCTGGGCTTTATGGGTAATTGACCTTGTAGAGCAGGATCTAAGGTCGCAGTGATCACTGCTGATGTGCCCTTGAGCAGACTGTCCCATTCACGCCAATCAGGGCTTTGTTAAAGCATTGCAGTGCAGTGTTTATCTCTACATGGACAAGTTTCTCTGATGTAACGATAATTGTTACCCTGCAAACCTTTCTTGTTCAGTGGTTCTAGCTTGTGTAAATAAAGCCTCTTACATTTTGTCTTTAAGTCTTGTCAAAGGTATTCGACTGATATATACACCGATCAGGCATAACATTATGACCTTGTTTCTACATTCATTGTCCATTTTATCAGCTCCACTTACTGTATAGGTGCACTTTGTAGTTCTACAGTTACAGACTGTAGTCCATCTGTTTCTCTGCATACTTTGTTAGCCCCCTTTTACCCTGTTCTTCAGTGGTCAGGACCCCCATGGACCCTCACAGAGCAGGTACTGTTTGGGTGGTGGATCATTCTCAGCACTGCAGTAACACTGATGTGGTGGTGTGTTAGTGTGTGTTGTGCTGGTCTGAGTGGATCAGACACAGCAGTGCTGCTGGAGTTTTTAAACACTGTGTCCACTCACTGTCCACTCTATTAGACACTCCTACCTTGTCAGTCCACCTTGTAGATGTAAAGTCAGAGACGACAACTCATCTGCTGCTGCACAGTTTGTGTTGTCATCCTCTAGTCCTTCATCAGTGGTCACAGGACGCTGTTGGCTGGATATTTTTGGTTGGTGGACTATTCTCAGTCCAGCAGTGACACTGAGGTGTTTAAAAACTCCAGCACCACTGCTGTGTCTGATCCACTCAGACCAGCGCAACACACACTAACACACCACCACCACGTCAGTGTTACTGCAGTGCTGAGAATGATCCACCACCCAAACAGTACCTGCTCTGTGAGGGTCCATGGGGGTCCTGACCACTGAAGAACAGGGTAAAAGGGGGCTAACAAAGTATGCAGAGAAACAGATGGACTACTGACTTACATTAAAAGTAAAGTATGTTTTTTCCTTCTCCTGTAAAGTTATCATTTTGGAGATACAAGGTTTTGTTCTGACAACCGTGATAAACGGATCATTTGTACCGAATTTGTTCAGAGTTGAAAACAGATTTTGGGCTTTTAATAGACTTGGACACTTCACACCAAAATCCTTCTGCTCTGAGTGACTGTATACCTTATGTTTATTAAAACAAATGAGTGAACATTTCATTTTTCTCTACCAAAACAATCATAACACTACCAAAACTTCAGCAAATGTTTCAGTAGTGACTGTTTCGGTAGAGACAATTTTAGGTCATTTTGAGAATAACTCAAACTGGCCAGTACATGACCAGCAAACACAACTTTGAACAGCTGTACACATAAAGTCATCATATTTTTATTAAAACAAAAAAGTTTACTTGGTTGCTGAGAATGTGTGTTTCGGCAGTGACAGTTCATAATGTTCCACACTGATTTTCAGATTTGGGACACATTTATTTCAAAACAATGGCTCACCATGTGGTTATGAGGGACAGGGATGCAGTCTCGATTCCTGCTCTAAAATGCAGGGGTGTGGCTAAAATAAGGCTCCGCCTATGGACTTAAACTCTTTGTGTTTCGGTTGTGACATGAAAATGTGTGACACCATTTATTTTTTTTTTTAAAGTTGTTCAAGTTCATTTTAAAAGAAATTTTAGATATTTAAAAAAAAATTATGCAAAAAAAATTACAAAAAAATATTTTCACAAGTGAAACTAAATTTAGGAATTTTAGGTTTAGGACAGTCACCTCCCAATAGAAAGTACAAAGTTACAATCACAATTAATTATATTGTAGCATAATCCTTGTAAAATATCTAAGGCCTAATACTAAAATAATTGTATATAATAATTTTATTTAATAATTTTTTTTTCCATGTTTTTTTTTGACTGGGTCAGCAGTTTGAACTAGTTCTGTAGAATAAACCATAATGTTTTGTCAAATACAGTAGTAACCTAAGATTTCTGAAAATTACACTAAAATAAAACGTGTTAACTCTTATTTTCTAATTGCTTGGTTTTTCTTTCAGACACTTTGACGTGGGACTCTACAAATGGCTCATCAGGTAGGCGCCTTCTCATTTCTGTGTCTTTGTCTGTCCAACTTCAAGAAAAGCATATTCTGAACGTACATTCACTGAGTAGTACCTTACAGTTTAAATCCTTTGAAAGCTTTTTTTTCATGCTAATTTCATCGTTACATCACATGCTTTAAAATATCATGTCATTAGGCTTTTGTCCTCTAGAGTCGTACACTCAGACTTTTGGAATCGAATCAAAACATGCTTTCAATAATATAAAACCAACTTGTTTGCAGATAAATGTATAAAATTATATTAATATGTTACTCCTGTGCAACTTTAAGCCAATTTGCCTGTTACTTTTAAACTCTGCATTTACTACATATCAGTTCTGTCCAGCAGACTGAACGTTTTTCTAAAAATAGGCCAGCGGTGGACAAAGTACACAAATCATGTACTTGAGTTAAAGTAGAGAGACCCAAAGTAAAATATTACTGCAGTAAAAGTAGAAGTTCCTCCCTTTAGACCTCCACTTGAGTAAAGTACAGAAGTATTCACCTTCAAATGTACTTAAGTATCGAAAGTAGAAGTACTGAAAGATTAATTAATTCAACTTGATTACAAGTTTAAGTTTAATAAAAACTTTAAACTCAGGTTCAGGAATGAGTTTCCTTTACTAAACTGCATCTGTAGGTCTCAGTTCATAAACATAAACTAGCCAAAACAAATTTACTATAAAATGAAATGTGTTTGTATAAATTCAGAATAAAGACCCGTCAGTCACAACTGCATATATGTACATATTTCTATATTGTGGTCTATTTACACAAAGTTAGGTTAGTTCATCATTTATGTTGAATAGACACTCCCCAAATTTTACGCTGCTGCACTGATGTTGAACCGTGTGCTGCACTGGGTCGGTATGACCAACAGGTCAAAACAAGCTCAAAACAAAGTGACCGCTGTGCCCTGATTGGTGTTTTTGCTTTGCGCTTCTTTCGTTTTGACATGTTACGTTTTTTATACACACATAAACCAAAAGGAACGACAGATTTCTCATAATGTAGAGGAGTGAAAAGTGAGATATTTGACTCTGAAATGTAGTGGAGTGAAAGTAAAAAGTCTCCCAAAATGGAAAAACTTCAGTGAAGTACAGATACACAAAAAAACTACTTAAGTACAGAAACAAATTACATTTACTTCGTTACTGTCCACCACTGAAATAGGCTCGTACTTTGGAGCCATATTGAGTCTCTTGCTAGTGAGAGCTGCTGGAGAACGGCACCGCAGTAAAGACTGTGGCAAAACTGACAGTAAACGTCACACACGAGGCTGGAAACCAAGGGTTTTTATTAATGTACCCGTTTTTTCTGAATTTATCGAAATGTCACAGGTCATTAGCCTCAAGTTTCAGGTCAAACTGCGAGTCGTTTATGAGTTCGAGTCTTGCACGAGTTAGTCAGCATCTCTGACATGTGCACACCCCAACATTAATTCAGTTTCCTAGCATTGTAGCTCCATACACACATAAACATGCACCTCAAGACACGCTTATTCAATCATTCTTAGCGAGCGACAGCACCTTGTCCATTAGCCGATTGCACACGGCTACTGTTGCGTTTAAATAAATCATTTCCCGTCCTCTAAAAGACAAGGCTGGTCAGCGAAGCCCAGCTGGATGAACGTTTTTAATCTCCCTTATTCTGATTATTCTGGGGCGAATGCCCTTTAGTAGACCAATATGCTAAATCAATAGCAGAAGCCCTTGGCCGGCTAACAAAGGCCTGTGCGAGACAGAGCGGCTCATTGCCTGCATTTCCTGACACCCCGTATTCATATTCTAATGGCCTCTCGTGTCCTCTGGAGTGCCTGTCGTTGCATATTCAGCAGACGAGTGTGCAGGTTGCGTCCTCTCGCCGGTTTTTGGGCCACGGGCTGGCCAGTCGGCCCCCCGCCAAGACGGGCTTCTCCATCGACAAAGGGTGTTTGATCAGAGCTTGGATTTGCATGTGTTTAGCATGGTGAAGACGATGTTCATCCCCCTCTCCACGGCCGTAATGCTGGAATTGCGCCAGAATGCGTGAATATGCACATATGAAGGAAAGGGCTAATGCCGTACGTGGTGCGTTTTTTTGTAGTCTTTTGCTTTTGTTGCGTGCTGCTGCTGCTGGTGTGTAGGTTGGGATTGAATAGAATAGGAATTCTTATTGTTGCACACATCACCATTGTAAGCAGTGATGCATCAGTACCATTTTTCCATGTAACCTACGTAGAATTAAGTAGTTGTTAGTGTAAATGAGTGCAACGTAACCTAACAGTTAAACTCGGTTTTTCCATCTGAATTTACATGCCCAAATCTTAAGGCAAGTTATTCAGTAACTGCATCAAATACGTGTAAATCTTTTTTATGTTTCCCTCAAATTAACAGAAAATGCGTTTTATGATCACACATATTGCTATATGCTTACAATTTACCAAAAATCTTAGATGCTCTTTGTATTTTTTTATAAAAATAATGTTTACAGAGCAGATCACTAAAGAGACGCCATCTGTTTATAGTTTATAAGAAGACAGTTACAGCGTTTATAAGAAGACAGTTACAGCGTCATATGACACCCACCTTCTGAATATAGCTTATGAAATATGACGGATACGAAGTAAAGAATATGACAGTGTGTTTTGGAACCACCGGTGGTTCCAAGGAGTTACAAAGGTTAAATCAGTAAGTTCTAGATGATTTTGAATAAAATGCATTAGCTAGCGATGATAAATTATTTAACACTACCTTGGATCTCGTAGCTTCTTTCGGAGAAGAGCGAGTTTTGTTCCACACCAGAAAAGAACTTCTGTTCAGCTGTAGTTTTGCTCCTCATCTGTGTTTTTCAACAACAGTCTCTCAGCACAGTGACAGCAGGAATCACATCCGAGGCTAAAGCATCCAAGGAGTGGATGCTTGTGTGGAGGTTTACGTCTTGTTGGAGTCCTTTGTTTGGCTGTTTGAACTGTGGCTGAATGTCCTCTGAAGCCAAACACACACTGTTTTTTTTTTTTAGAAATCTTGTTCTTTGGTAAAACACTGTACAGTTTGATTAGACGGCCGTGTACGGACAAGGCCTACAAGCACTGCTGTGTCTGATCCACTCAGACCAGCACAACACACACTAACACACCACCACGTCAGTGTTACTGCAGTGCTGAGAATGATCCACCACCCAAATAGTACCTGCTCTGTGAGGGTCCATGAGGGTCCTGACCACTGAAGAACAGGGTAAAAGGGGGGCTAACAAAGTATGCAGAGAAACAGATGGACTACAGTCTGTAACTGTAGAACTACAAAGTGCACCTATATAGTAAGTGGAGCTGATAAAATGGACAATGAGTGTAGAAACAAGGAGGTGGTCATAATGTTATGCCTGATCGGTGTATATGAGCGTGCACTGGTATATAGGCGTCTGAGGAAGAGTTATAGCCAGGGCGTATTATGTGGCTTTGAAAGAGAGAGGAAACGAGCCAGCCAAGTTGTTGCTTTGAGACACGGAGACTTGAATACGGTGATGTCTTGGAGACTGCAGACAGCATCCTACTGTAATGTGATGCTCTTGGCTGTTATTGAGTTGTGAAGTGCAGTCTACTCTGAGCCCAGATCAGAAAGGAGTTATCTGCTCATATAATCACACTTATATCTAGACTGCTTATTCTCATACAGATTGATTTCGACTTCAGGCTCAATCTCTCGCTCTCTCTCTCTCTCCCTCTTTCCGAACAATTGTTATTGCTTTTCAAGCATGCTGATCACACCGGGTGTAGAAATAAGTCTCTAATATCATCATATCACACATTACATTTGTCCGTGTGCTGATAGGGTCAGTGCTTAACTTCTTCAAATCAATACAGTTCATCTTCCATGAACATTAGAATTCTGTGCATGCGTTAAAATCTCAATATGGAAGTGTTTAGACAGGGTCATCTCCATCCCTAGGTCTACTCTGAGGTAGAAGAAGCATTTCAGGAAGCCTGGGGCTGTCAGACGCAAGAGCTGGGACTGTTTATTATAGCTTTTTCAGTAATTGGGGTTGTAGTTCATAGCGGGGTCAGGGCAGAGGCATACAGGGTTAATGCATGATAATCCAGATCTGGGAACAAGCTGGCAAGGTCAAAACCAGAAACTGTAAGAAACTGGAAATAGGGACAAAGGAACTAGGAAGCAAGGGAACTAAGAACACATGGAGCTAGGAAGAAAGGAACACAGGAAACTAAAAACACAGAACAAGGAACCAGGAACTCAGGGAACCTGGAAAGAAGGACATGAGAACACAAGGAACTAAGTACATAGAGAACAAGCAAACAAGAAAACCAAGAACACAGGGAACTAAGAGCAATGAACCCAGAACCCTGAAAATTAGGAAACAAGGAACTAAGAATATGAAAAATTTGGAAACAAGCACCTGGGAACACAGGGAACTAGGACACAAGGAACCAAGAAACAGGGAACTAGGAAACAAGAAGCCAAAAACACAGGATACCAGGAACCAAAAGCAATTAAGAACATGGGGAACTAGAAAACATAGAACCAAGGAGACTGGGATCTAGGAAATTGGTTTCCTGGAAAATGTAAATTTTTAATGATATGCAAATCATGTAAGCCCTATGTTTAATTGAAAATAATACAAAGACAGCATATCAAACTGAGAAATCTTATTGTTTTTTGAAAAATATGTGCCCATTTTGAATTTCATGCTTGCAGAACATTTCAGAAAAGTTGGGACAGGGGCCTGTTTACCACTGTGTTGCATAAACTGTGAACAGCGTTAAACTGTGCAGTGATAACGAGCCAGATTGTCTTTCGACCAGAGGACACAGTGTCCATGATCTCCAAAAAGAATTTCAAATTGTGATTAGTCAAACCACAGGACAATTTTCCTCCTCAGTCCATTTTAAATGAGCTTTGGCCCAGAGAAGGTGGCAGCATTTCTGGATCCTGTTTATATGTGGTTTCTTCTTTGCATTGTAAAGTTTTACCTTGCCTTTGTGGATGCAGCGACAAA